GAGCGTGATAAATCGAACGTCGATCGATCGCGAACATAATCCAGCAGACAATAATGCCTCCCCTCGCGACTTCGAGCGCATGTGTATATATATCACGCGGTGATAATGAAGTCTTTGTAGATCTACGGCCATTGCTGCATCAGGTGTTTCCACAGACTCGCTTCGTGCAGTTTATGCATGATGCGCTAATAATTTACTGCTATCTATATCTGTGTCTGGCACACGTCGAATCCGACAATGGCTTTAAAGAGCGAAGAAGTCAGGAAAGGCGCACGAGCAGCCTTTAGAAATTATGACTGCTGTTTCGTGCGGTGCAAGACATCTCGATGAATAATGTAACACAAGCTTTTATCGTGGCACAATGTTATCACCAATATTTGTGCACTTATATATATGTAGGTATGAGTTATCAAAAACGTCATATAAAACGTGACCCGTCTCGCTAAGCGTTCGCGTAACAACTTTGTTATCGTTGAAAGACATAAAAATTCGGATAACATTCTCGTTACTGAAATATCGCGCTTTTCTCTGCCATATCTTTATGAATAGCCGATTGGAATCATGTGATTTTTCAAAATAAATTTTCTGGAACAAAGTCTCGATTTAAATTGTCACTCAATGCTTTCATTTATTATAGAATGCAAATATAACCTAAAAAAAATTTTTTTTTCTCATCTATTTATATAAAAGATATTTTAGAAAAGTCCACATTTTGTGGTTTTAACAATACATATTCTGACTTTAAAATTTGTATCCACATACAAATATATATTTTTATATATTTCTAAATATTTTAATAAAATATTCTTGAACTCATTTTATACATATTTCGTATATATTTTTAGATAAAATGCAATCAAGTGATGAAATGTACTTTCTAACGTAATCGTATTAATATATATCTCGCTACAACTAATTTCAACAGAATGAATTACAAGTTTAACAAGTATGTACAGATTAACCACAGGTTAATTAGCGTCATGTTAGTATCGTGTCTGCGTTAATTAGTATCATGTCTGAACGAACAACTTTCGGAGCTACAAATGATGCTAAATTGATTCAAAGTTGATAAGATATATATATATATATATACATATACTTTTATGATTTCATAATACGTGTAGTAATAAATTAAAATATTTATAATAAAATTAAAAAGAGTATGGTTTGTTTTTTTCTCTCAATTTAGATTTATCAAATTAAAGATGCAAATCTATATGTGTGTTTAATAAGTAACCAAATATTGAGAACCTAGATGTAATACGGATATATATTAATAAGATGATATCTTTTTATTAATATATAGATAATTAATAACTGTATGATTTTATTAATAAACAATATTTCTTTTAATTAAAATAGAAATGCAAGTATCGATTCGGATGTTGCTTCACAGTAAAAGTTCTAATATATAAGACATTTAAATATGAACTTATACGAAGACCCTTTTTTTTCTTTCTCAATTTGTAAAATTATTACCTGCAAAAATGTAAGCTGCTTTTTATCATTATCAATGACTTACGACATAGAATATATTGATTATGACTTACAAAAGCAACGGATATTTATTTAATAGACTTCAAATCAACGCTGTCAAGTTTGTGCGAAAGAAAATTGAAAATAACATCGCGGAAACTACATTATATTGGAATCCGATATTAATTAATTTTTGATGAATGCAACTAATCTCTATCGCGCGCTCTCTGCAAACATGCACAATATGCAATCAATCAGGGGCATGTTTTAAGTTGCAAGCTAATGATGCCGGAAACTTTGCAGCTTCGAAACAGTTAGGAACCACTGTCTTGCGTAACAGCGTGAAACGAACCGGCATTGGCTTGGAGAAACTCGTATTTCTCATGAGCTCGCGCGAATCCACAAGCGAATATGTTTACGTTGCATTTTCGACATGGACTATCTAATTAATCATCGAGAACTTAGTCTACAGTGGAATTCCAAATTACTCGGTAATTATAATATGCAATTACACAGTGCATTTCGCACAGATAACATTTTGATATTTAAATATTACTCACACTTAGTATATACGACCACTTATCAATATTGCAAATCAAAAAATAATATTGATTATTTGCGTCCAAAGTAAAACGGAACACCATGATGTGTGAATTTGATTTCTTTTTTTTTTGGTGGGGAGGAAAAAATTTAAAAATTTTGAATCTACAATAAATTTATATTTCTATATCATTAAAATATATTAAAATATGTTTTTCTTTTTATATTTGTTAAGCATACTTAAAACATGTTTCTGATTAAGTGTACATTGTGCATGCTTGCAGGAAACGCATGATAAAATAATGCATCATATTTTCTGCCTTTTAATAATGATAAAAAAGGAGTCTTTTTTGACTCGGACAGTTGATGAGCGAACCCGGATCATTTTCGAGAATGTTCCGGCCTTCATGAATGATTATGGTAAAACCCTCAAAAGAGGGGGTCTTTCGCATTTTATGAAGAGTGTCTACCGGCGTATATCAGTACTACCGGAGCACGTGCGGAATTTTTGCGCATTTACCTGGTTTCCCCCACCATGATGCGTTGCACTCACGCTGATTCGTAAGGAAACTCCGCGTGTAGATAGCACACAGACACGTATTATCTTCTGCACGCCCGTACTAACACAGATCAGTACGTCTGCCGTATAGCTAAAAATAGGCACGCAGATGTTCCACGCGATCTTGCCGGCGTACTGTCAAAATGGTGGCGCTCTCGTGGCTTGATCGAACGCCTCGAAAAAGCGAAGAGCGCAGGATCGAAACCGTACTCGTGGCACGCTTCAAACTTGAAAGCCGGTGATGCTCATTGTAACAGCAGCGAAAATAATTGAGAAGTTAAGAAAAGAGAAGGGAAAAGGATAGGGAGAGAGAGAAAATGAAGAAAATTTATAGAGAAAGAGGCCAAAAAAGAAAAGAGAAAAAGAGACTAAATAAAGAAAAAAAGTAAATGGAAATAGAAAGAGGAGCGGTTATTCGTGCTGTTATCGTTCGACGTGTGCCAGTGATATTATTTCTTGTGCAAAGAGATTTGCGAGTGACCAGCTCAAGAACGCGCGCAGTACTAAAGAACGGCTCGTGTTTTCTCGAATATAGCCGACCGTCTTGTTGCTACTTCACTACTACAGAACCATTTTGCCAGGGCAGGGTATACATATACTGTATACTAGTGATACTACTACCACGTGCGTTAAATCGCTGCAACGTTGCCAGTGTTTGTGCAGCCTGCATACCGGATCACCTCGAACTTGAATGTCCAGTTCCGAAGAGAGAAATAGCGATAGTCAATGGCCGATGGTTGATGGTCGAGGGTCAAGTGTGTAGACTACACTACACTACACTATACTACATATATATCTTGACCTTCAAATCTCCTAAGCGCCTCCACCTAAAAAAAATGTTCACTTCCACAAGATTTCCCCCTCGATACGATACAACTTTTATTTCAAACATAGTGTCTCAATACATTTGTTAAAAACAAAATTAAACATTTTTAATTAAAAAATATAAGCATTTGCTATAGACATTGTATAAATACACCATACATTTTGTATATCCGCATTATTTTAGTATAAATACCAAAAAAAATAAAATAAAATAAAAATGAAACGTATCTAATAATACTTTCTCTCTCTTATTCGCGCTTGCATATGTGCGTGTGTAATGCATTTTCATATATGTGTACGCTTCCTGTCTAGCTACTCCCACTTTTTTAATGTTATACAGAGATGAATCGTCTCATAATTATAATTATATCCTTTCATTATATAACTCTCATAATTACATCATCTTTCTTTTTCCTATGCTTTAAACTACATTATCTAAATACTTGATTTATTTATAATACATTTACGAATATCACTGAGCAAGTTTTAAATTTATATCTTTATATAAAGAATTTAAAAAAGAAAAGATGTACATAATATATCGATACAGGAAACCAGTAAGCCATATTTAAGCAAAATATGAAATAAGTGAAAATATATATAGCGCAAGAGTAATTTCAAAAAATATATAATTAAGAAATATCGGATATGATATCGAAAAATATAAATATAGAAAATGTCAATAAAAATTGCGCAGATATATCACAGTTATCTCAAACGTGCGATTAAATTTTCTATTCTAAGATTAACAGTTTTATATATCTTATTTACTCTGATTACTCTTAATATTTAATGATTTAATAATCAAAGTAAATCGTATTGGAAGTATATCATATTCAAGATATTGACTAGCATTTGTACGAGAAAAAGATTATCTTGGAGGTTACAAATAATTACAAGATAGATAAAAAAGAATGACTTGTATTATTGAAGTAATAAATATATAAGTGCAATAAAAGAAAAATACAAATAAAATCAACGATCACAGTCGCTGGATTGGCATTGTGTTCATTACGTATATATATATATATATATTAAAAGATAACATTTTCTATTTGTAAAATGACTTACACACTCTATAAAGTATAAAAATAAATTTTAATATTGAAGTTTGATGCACGACATGATTTATGAATAAAATGCACACTGCAGAATGCACATACATGATGACAGAAAAAGGCGCGATATATAATATGTAATATATCTTTTGTTAAAATATATAATACTATTTATACATTATATATATACTACGTAATATTCGAGAAAAATCCGTTTAAGATTTTAATATTATGCTACAGGAACGCTCGCATACTTTAATCGCTATTTCATTATCAAATATCTTCGCTCGCAAAAAAATACATATACTATTACGTAGTTTTCATTCGAGAGTAATTTAGTACATTTTACTACACTAACAATAAGTTATAAAATATTGCACGTTTCTTGTTGTACAATAATTATATTATACTATATTGCATCTTTTATATTTAAAGTTTTTAACAAATTAATGGAAATTATTTCTATTATTCTGTATTTTTACGACATAAATATGATTTCCAACACATTTATATATGTATGTGTAATATATATAATATGTATATACATATATATATACATATATGTCTATAAAGTATATGTATATACTATATATGTATATATAGTATGTACTATTTATATGTACATAGTATGTATACTATATGTATACATACCAGGTGTTACAAAATACAATAGTAATAGAAAAAAGCGATTCTACATGAATCACACAATAGGCGAGAACAAATTTTTTAATATTCTAAATTTTGGATTTTCAATATTATTCTATAATTATTATTCTTTTTATATATGTTATACATATTTTTTATAAAACCATTCTTTTTCATGTTATATCACACATATTTTTAAATATCTTGTACATTTATATCTTTATTCTTAAGATATATCTTTAAGACATATCTAAAGATTAATTACGAATATAAATAAAGATTAACAATCGATTTTTCTTATTGAAATATACTGAAAATACATGTTTTGCTTATACAATTAAAATATCGCATAGCTATAAAGACAAAAAAAAAAATTCACTTCGTTGGTCGACAACTAAATCATTAATTTCGCGTCATTAAGTTACAAAACTAGTTAGCAACTATTACTTAACTAAAGGCGATTTCAACCAATTTCTCTTGCTGAGTTCCTTTCGCTCCGATGTAAAACTCGTTCGTTGCCAACGGTGATGCGATTCCTATTCAACGTATGCATGTGTGTTTGACAATCTTCGCCAGTAAATCACGTTCACATGTCTAAATACAGCTTACAAAATACGCATGTATCGTAGTTAACTTTAATTGGCACAGACAAGTTAGAAGTTTTCCTAACGAATTGCACCTCTAAATTACCTTCATTTGAGCGATATTTTGAGCTGAATGTGAGTTAGCTCGAGCAATGTAATCGAGGAAAACTTTGCTTACGTGTAATTACGTTCTACGCGCACAGTTCGTAAATCCAGCATTGACGATGCTGGGATAATAAAATTTGGCACTAATACACGCAATTGCTCGTCGAGTTTATTACGGTATACCGTCACTCTTGAAGATATGTCGAGAGTTTCAACGATGTTGTTGCGAGTAATATACGAGGAACACTCCTCGTGAACTAGGGTCGAATCATAATCTGGTGTGTTTGCCAATCTCATTGGTCACGTCGATAGAAGCGTTCTTCAGCGCGTTGAGTTTTTCCACGTAGCTGTTGTCTAGATGCAACTTGCCTTCGTCATCCATGAATCCTTGAAGGGAAGGAATTCTTTCTATCCCTTTCTCGGTACTGCCGGAGATGGATGCCACCGAGGAAAGAGTGGCGTTTGTAGCATCATTTTTATTTCCGAGTCGGGTGGCGTAGACTCTTCGTTTTCCGGGAAATAGACCCGCTATTTTCCGCGCTATAGGATGTAGCAAATGCTCCTCGTACTTGTCTGATTCGGCATCGGCCGTAATCAAGCTCACAATGATACCGATGACGACCGTCGTCACGCTGCCAATAAGAGCGTAATACATATACGTGATCCCGTAAAAAACATTTAGAGGATTGGACGATTGATCAGGCTCGTCGACAGACGACAACGTCGTGATATTCTCATGAATTTTCGTCCAGCTAGAAACGTTTGGCGTAGAATAATCTAAACTGATTGGTTTTGTGACCCACGACGAAAAGGTCTCGTTGTGGCAATCCTCCGTCGATAATGGCAGCATCTTCGTTACGGTACCGAGACTGAGATGACCGAAGGTGATCCACATTGTCGTTATGTGGCTGAAGATCATACCAACGGCGGCACCTTTCCAGTTGGCGCAAGGTACCAACATGGCAAGGAGAAATACGCCAAGAAGAGGTCCGGACGTCGCCGACGTCATTAGCATAGAAGATTCTATCACGCCTGATAGCATGGCTACTAGGAAACTAATGCCGATTATTAACAGACCGTAGATAAAACCGATGATTTTGATCGTGTTGAGCTGCTGCGTATCTTTAAGATCTTTCAGTGCCGGTATGTGACTCAGAAAATCCTCGAATGTCACCGTCGCGAGAGAATTGAGATTCGATACCGCCAAAGTCAAGGCGCTGTTAAATAGAGTTGCCATCACTAAACCGAGCATACCGGGTAGGTGGAGGAATTTATCTTCGACGTAGAATGGCACGATTTCGTCGATCTTGGATATGTATCCCAGAGAGAGTGGATCGCAGTCGGCGTAATTAGCGAAGATTACCATTCCGACGATCCAAGATAGCGAGAACAGGATTACTATTATAGGCATGTTGGCCATCATCGTACTGAAAACCAAAAAATTCTCTAATCACGAAAAAAATTGAAACAACTTGAAATATTAAACTATTTTAATTAACAATTTAAGAGAGAGAGAGAGAGACAGAGAGAGATTGAGAGAGAGGAAGATTGACATAACAGTGCTAAATCCGGATGGCAATGATAATGGATACAAAGATCGTTTTTATAATTATAAAAACATATGACACAATTCTTGTAAGAATTAATATTATATAATTATTATAGTATTTGCATGCACATTTGTTTTGTAAAAAGATTTTTTAAAAATAAGTTTTCTTTCTCTCTCTCTCTCTCTTATATACTACACAAAATTCAATAACAATTTCTTGTACATAGAAAAAATCTTACGTAAGATTAAAGGATAAAAAAAAAAGTAATGAATAATTGGTGAAAGAATTTTAACAACGTACGAAGCGATATAGATGCGACAACACAGATAACAATGATATGTAACATTTATTCTTATAATCGGCTTTTTTAACTTCTTAAGATAATGAGGAGAACGCTATTGCAACTTAACAACACAGAAAAAATTAAAAACTAAAAATCTTAAGAAAAATAAAAAAGACAATACAAAGATAAAATAAAAATAAAAGATAATAATATTTTTAATATTAGAAAAAATTTAATTGTTCTCTTTGTACATGAATGCGAATTACAGATGTATCCGGAAAGTGATTTGAACAAATTGTTTATTTCTTAGAATCTTAATTTTTTTATGATACTTAAATATTTTTAATCTGTAATTCGTATTAATGCACAAACAAAACGATTAAATTCCATCTCGATGTTAGTTTCGATGTTTGTCGTGAAAGTTTGAGAAAACGCGTGGAAAGTAAAATCCTTTACGTATTAAATGTGTGACATTAATATACATTAGTCAAATTAATCTCGCGGAAGCATAAATTTTTAGCTAGCCAACAGAATGACGACGTAGTCGTTTAATATAATTTTGTAATGTCTCTAGTTTTATATCGTGCGTACAAATTATAGTAAAGAAATGTAGAGATTTTAAGCGGCTTTAATTTTTTATTATTCTGGAAAGAAAAAGAATAGCTTTATCTCTTTGTTCTTTGCAAAACATTTATTCAGTCATATTAAACGTTAAGACTGTAGAGACGCGACCTCATTCTAAGAACATATGTCGTTGTCTCTTAGTTTGAATTGATATTGTAAACCTTACTGAACGCCGAAGGTTTCTATATACTAAAAATTTGGCGCGGTGCCATTCGGCTCCCCACGGAGCTCTCATTGATTATGTAGTAATAGTAACTCTGGGAACAATTTGCTAAATCGGCTCGATTGGTACTACTTCTAAAAAGCTTTTGTCGTCGAGAAATCGTTGACGTAAAATCATCAGCCTGTCGTTATGCATTGAAATTTAATTTACATCATCTGGAAGAATATATTTAATATAAAAATAATGCCATATGAAATTGAAAATTCAAATTATTTTTACGCATTGACCATATGTACTAGAAGATTATTTTTACATTAATAATTTTATAAACTATATTTCGGAGTTTATTATACAGAACGCGGTAAAAAAAAGAATGTGCGAGTGACAAAGAGATTTTGCTGAAATTCTGAAGATAAATTTCTGCTGAGATCTTGAGAGCGTTTCATGACCATGTCTCTGGATCAGATGTGTAACTTTATTTTTCTTATGAAAGTATCTACTTGAGTTTTTCTGACGATACATTTGCGAGCAATAAAATTTTATGAACCAACATGATGCATACATTCCATGTGATATCTCAACCCGGTAACGCAGTAAATTTGTGGTTGCGTGTATGTGAGCGTTTTTATACTCTTTTGATTACCGCCGGACAACTGACTGAAAAATGCTCGGTTTTACGTTGACTGCTGTATATATATGACAATCGCAATGCGTGCCAATATTTTGTAAAATTTCGTCACCGTTACAATTCTATGCGCGTATGTGCTACCTCAAACTGCGATTTTTATATGCTACAGAGAGAATACATATCTCAAATAATAAAAGGAATTATTACAAACGGAATTATTCATCAACATAAAAAAAAAACGTTTTCCTAAGACTACATATAACATACACGAGAATTTCTAAATTTAATTTTACGATGGGAGATATGCTCGCATACATTGTTCAAGCGATACGATATATTTTACAAAAAAAAGCATGCTTTTAAATCTTTTAGGAAAAAAATTGGTTTTTATTGATATGGTTTTTTCTAAAGATTATCAGGAAAATGCATGTCTTATTAAATCAATAAAATATGCTATTCCCTAATTTCTGTTTTCTATAAATTTGTAATTATATTAAATTGTTTTGAATTTTAATACTATACTTTTAATATCACAAAAGAAAATAATTTAATGCGTCGAAGTCATGTATCGTGTGGAAATTACAGGTGAGACCGTGAAAAAATATCAGCTGGTAGTAATAGCTATCATATTAAAACGGTGTATTATTTACATCATATTTTTATCATTTATTTTATGATTTAAAAAATATCCAAAGTGTATAAAAAAATTACGTTCATTTCATCGAAATAAAAGTCTTTTATAGATGAAAATATGGTTTTATAAGATGTATTTCTTACTATAATATTTTTCAATTTCTTATAATCCTTATTGTTAGTCATAAAATGTGTGTGTTTTTCATAATTCTAAATGCACACATCATGATTATTCCTCTTATACTTTTGTTTTTTTCTCGCTGGCGTCATTTTAATTCGCAAATTCTTACGTTAAGATAAGACTTATTTACATAATTTAATGTGAATCATAATTCACGCGATTCTCGTTGATGAATCATTAGCCAAACTCAAACGGCTGCAGAAAGAATTTCAACAAGTCACGAGTAAATATGTATTTGTACCATATCAAGGAATCACAATCGACATACATATGCCAGAAATTAAGAAGAAAGTTTGCGAATGTATCATATATCCGGAAACACCTTTTCTGCAGGATATTTCGATATGCTCGAGATAAAAATTAATTCGGAATTAGTTAAAGAATATATCATTATAAATCATAGAAAAATGGGATATCTTACACCTTATAAATAAAAAATGATATACATTTGTATTGATATACTCTCTCTTGCAAAGTTTAAAGTTGTCAAAAAAATCTCACTTTTTTTTTTATTACCATCAAGAAATGCATAGTTACCGGAATATATTAAACATTATACTTTAATTCAATGTAATAGGCCAGTACATGATATTTTTTTTCTTAGCGTTAGATATATTTTAAAAGTCAAGTTTATACACACACATACGTGCATGCATGCGTTGTTATGTGCCTGCGCTGTGCCTAAAAATTTCCATATAAAAGAGTTTTACGTCGATTATTTACTGATAACAACATTTGTATAATGTATGCATTCGCGCAATTTCATAGCGAGATATTTATCTCATTGTCAATATTTCTAAAAAGTTCGGTGATAAAAATTTATACCAACTTTTATATAAAATTCCCACTTAGCATTAACAACTATCAAGTTTTATACGATTTAATTTTTAAAGTACAATTTTGTACAATAGACGGAGGGTTTTTTATTAACTTTAATTTTTCCTTTATTGACTACTTTGTGCACTATGTATATGCGTTTGTGCTCGTAATTTCCATTTACATCTTGTATGCATAAAGTGATAATTCATAGAACACTTTGCATAAATCACATTATCCTTTAGTTCGACGAGTTGTGCGTAATGTGTCATACAAGTCTGTCGTTTATCGTTGCAGGACAGAAGAGCAGTTAAAGGAATTGTTCGAAGTTCTGTTCATATCATACACAAAAAGTTTACTTACTGGACAACCTTTCTTTGGCTGGACATACTGCAATATCTCTGGACAAAATTCTGTTGACATCCGAAAATGGATAAACTCATGAAGAGCTGACCCAGTGTCGCCGATACTGTCGTCACTCGAATAGTTGGATCCATATCAAAGCTGAAGAAAAGATATGAGATATTGAATGAATGTCGCATTTTTATATATATTGTAGGATTTAGGAATATATATTAAATTATTTCTAAATTACTTTGCAATTTGAAAAAAAGGAATCATTTTATTGTCTCTACAAAATTTTTCAAGGATGCAAAAAATGCACAGCATATGAAATAATTTTGCGCTGCTGTGGAATTTAATAATTTTAGATTGCGAAATGCGTAGTGAGGAATTTTAATATGAAATCACATTTTAACATTATTCAATTTACTGACAGTTTGTTGAAATTATATATTTTCAGCGTGATAAATAATTCTAAAGTTCAAAAATGGGATGCGGAAATGTGCAACAAGGATTTTACATATATTATCGGTAAATTTATATTGAAATGAAAATTATATACGCCTGTTTGATGAATAATTATCAATAGACATACTTGAAAAAATCCAAGCGTCCGCGTTCGGCAGTCACATTAAAGACGTTAACTGGCCCGCCGACGTTAACAGTTCCCTGTATGATGATTACCACGGATACACCGATCATCGTCAGGCCTTGTATAACGTCCGATAGGATGGCAGCTCTCAGACCTCCCTAAAAAAAAGAACGTACATAAATATCAGTAGTCGCAAATCATAAAATAACACAATATTGATGAGTAATCGATTAAATAGTTTAATCAATATGAAATAATGTAGTAATTTTAATGTTATATATAATAATATATTTCGTCAAAAGACATTAAAATATTTTATTATTTCAAAGGTTTAAGAATTTTATTAAGAGTTATATTTTTATTATTTTTTATGTTGTTTGCTGTTATCATTCACCATTCAATTCATACATGATGTAGCAATGTACATATTACATACAACAAAGTATACATACAAATTATGTATATCTACATTTCGCACGTACAATTTACATACATACTATATGTACATATAAAATATATCAATGAATATACATATTATGTATTATAATGTACATCCAAATCATGGTATATAAGATTTATGAATATCTATATATAGAATATTATTTTCATGTCATAGAAGTAAGATGTATATTCATCGTATATCCGATATTATATGAGTAGCAAGTAATTTGCCACTGAAATAAATACAATTTTACAAGTTTACTAAAATTAGATTATAATTTTAATTTTTAACCGGAAATATCAGGTTTTCCGAGAATACTTCTGCTCTTCAAGAGCCGTCATAAGTAATTTATTTTCTCGTAGAGATTGAGATTGATATAATTTTAATTTTGAACAAATCGCTTTTATGTTATTATATGCTACAAATAAAAAAAAATATTTTTTACACTTAAAAAAGTGACACTTAATGAAATTATAATTAATACATTACACTGGCGAATTGGACAAATTAACGCCCTAAGCTATTGAAATTGTTTCTCATCATAATGGATAAATACAAAAAGCATTTTTGTGTAAATATTTTGTACGTATTGCGTTGCATCGATTTCTCCATAATTTCAATCTATATAATTTGCATGAAAAGCGCTCATTACTCGAGTATATAAATGAAATATTCAACAACTTGCATTATTTCGTATTTAGAATATTTGTTTAATGAGTGAACGTCGACATTTATAAAACGTATGGTTATATAATATAATATACGTGTTGTGTTCTTACCATGATTGTGAAAGCCACAGAAATAGTAGTTATTCCTACGATACTAGCCCAGTATGGAAGTCCTATCACTGCTTTCAACGCGACGCAAGGAGTAAACACCGTGACCGCCAAATTTAAGAGGCTCCGTACGACGTATGAGAAGCTCGCCAGACATCTGACTAGTTTCGACTTGAACCTGGGAAATTTGCATAATTAAGAGAAACTAAAATGAAAGATTCAAGGAATTACTTTCGTGCTAACCGGACCGTTACGTATATATGAGAATACATTCTCTCTACGTCATAGCTAAAATTATAAATCCGAAGTCCGTTTCCAAATACTAATCATCATAACATGTATAAGAACAACTTTTTCTTTTTCCTGGAACTCTGCTAGTCAGCTTATATGTTTTCGTATCTTATGATATCTTTATATTTTGGACGTTACACATGACTAGTAAAACATCTGCATACGATGCAATGTGTTTATTCAAAATTAATTTATCTGTTTGATTAAAATTCTTGATTGTATATTAATTAAAAACTGTATAATAATTTTCTTCTCTCTCTTTTTTGATTTTTGGCTTTAAGATTGATTTATTACGATTGTTATCGATGGAATATCTCAATATAGCATCTTAATTTGATTTTGTACATTATTTATCGACTTGGTCCGGCGTCACACAGTTTATTTTGTGTGTCATTGATATAATTCATGCAAGCAACGATAGACAGTGTTATTTTCATGCAAAGTTTGAGAAATAATATTATATGCCATGTTTTCGAGAAGAAACAAGAACCGTGAAATTACCTCATGTCCAGATATTGGTAGACCGACGTGATGCCGAGACTGTAGTAAACGGGAACGAAGATAAAGCAGACGATAGGATAGGCGAGCAACATCCCATACAGGGTCTCCCACATGGCGCTACCTCGATAATACAGTTCCGAAGGATAACCCAGGAAGGACCTGACGCCGAGAGTTCCCCGCGCGATTGACAGCATCATCGCGCCCATTGACACGCTGCCAGTGGCGAACACGTAATTCGCCTTGGTTTCCTTTTTCTTCGTCCTGAAGTTCCCCCATAACGGTATCACGAAGGAAATCACGATGAACCCGATGAAAACCAGATAGTCCACCACCATCGATGTGACGTTGGTCGTCATCCCGTATCCACGGCCGCTTCGTAACGCCCTTCCGTGATAGAGGTTGGTCTGTGTACCGAGATTACGAGGGTTGCTGAGTTTAACGGCGTTTCGTATCGAGAGAACGTGTCACTCGATATAAGAGATTTTCGATTACTTGACAAGGAGTGGCTTTTGAGAAACGCCCGAGTGCTTGTCGAGTACCACCGCGACAATTGTTTCTATTGGGAAGTGTCAACGCGATGTTACGTTTAAACGCGATTCTTGTCTGACTTTCGTCCGATCGGTGTCAATTGGAGAGAGCGAGTATCGCGAAGAGATGCCCGTTTCCACTACCGAAGTGGAATATATGCGCGATAAGTTTCAGTAAGAGACAAAATAACAGAAGCTCGTCCGTAACGTACCCTTATATCGCCGCGTGTGCGCGCGTAGACCTTGTTACGCAATTTCACGAGAGACACTAATATGACTCAATATGATCAACGCGACGCGATCGGAGCGACGGCACGTATTGACTACCAACGAAGTGAAGTACTTGACGCTATTATGCTAACGACCTGGCAGGAAAGAGAGACGATATCACCTCACGCGGAAAAGAGACAGACGAAGGAATAGCGTTTGGTGGGATGGTGAAGTTGACGAAAGGAGAGGGAGTCCGGAAGAACGTGGTCTTCTTATCTTCTGCCGCTATTGTTTATCCGCGCCATGCCGGCGCTCCTGTAAGCTCTTTTCATTGAATTTATATCCCGTCTGCCTCTCGCGCGAAAGAGGACGTCATGTGATTCTCTAGAGAGCGTAATTGTTGATGATTGATCTATTGTAGAACGAGTTTATGCAACAGGCTGCAACGAATTTTAATGGTGACAGTTTACGTCAATTATTGCATCGTTTCGTAAATATATTCATCCTTAAAGGAAAAAAAAATATATGCTTTGTTCATTCATACTTTGCAACAGCTATTAAAATTATTTAAGCCATTGTTCGCACACAACACAAGCTTATTTTGTAAAAAATGTTCTAATGAGCATACATTTGAATACGTAAAACGATTCTATTGTACATGAAGTATGTTGAACTTGTTTTATGTGTACGGAAGAGAAATAAACTTTTACATAAATAATTACAAAGCGTTTTCACGAAGTATAATTATGAGTTTAATTTGAATTAATTGTGTGGCATTCGCGTTGAAGTTTGTTTATGATTTGCATTTTGCCATTGTGCATTCTTAATGAATAGATAAATAAAATTAATATCTCGGACAATTTTGGATTTTAAAACACGACTGGAAAAATAATGTCGTAATGTTGCATTTATATATACATACATATGTGATATCATAAAATTATATAATATGAAGATTTTAAATATATTAAAATAAATCATTTCAAAATATCTGTTTATAAGTTCATCAATTAGGGAAAG